CTCCAGCTTTGTTCTTTTTGCTTAGGATTGTCTTGGCAATGCGGGCTCTTTTTTGGTTCCATATGAACTTTAAAGCAGTTTTTTCCAATTCTGTGAAGAAAGTCATTGGCAGCTTGATGGGGATGGCATTGAATCTATAAATTACCTTGGACAGTAAGGCCATTTTCACAATATTTGATTCTTCCTATCCATGAGCATGGAATGTTCTTCCATTTGTTTGTGTCTTCTTTTATTTCATTGAGCAATGGTTTATAGTTCTCCTTGAAGAGGTCCTTCATATCCCTTGTAAGTTGTATTCCTAGGTATTTTGTTCTCTTAGTAGCAGTTGTGAATGGGAGTTCACTCATGATTTGGCTCTCTGTTTGTCTGTTATTGGTGTATAGGAATGCTTGTGATTTTTGCACATTGATTTTGTATCCTGAGATTTTGCTGAAGTTGCTTATCAGCTCAGTTTGACTGAGATGATGGGGTTTTCTAAATATACAATCATGTCATCTGCAAGCAGGGACAATTTGACTTCCTCTTTTCCTAACTGAATACCCTTTATTTCTTTCTCCTGCCTGATTGCCCTGGCCAGAAATTCCAACACTATGTTGAATAGGAGTAGTGAGAGAGGGTATCCCTGTCTTATGCCAGTTTTCAAAGGGAATGCTTCCAGTTTTTGCCCAGCCAATATGATATTGGCTGTGGTTTGTAATAAATAGCTCTTATTATTTTGAGATACGTTCCATCAATACCTAGTTTATTGAGAGTTTTTAGCATGAAAGGCTGTTTAATTTTGTTGAAGGCCTTTTCTGCATCTATTGAGATAATCATGTGGTTTTTGTCGTTGGTTCTGATTATGTGATGGATTGCATTTGTTGATTTGCATATGTTGAACTAGCCTTGCATCCCAGGGATGAAGCTCACTTGATCATGGTGGATAAGCTTTTTAATGTGCTGCTGTATTTGGTTTGCCCGTATTTTGTTGAGGATGTTCACATCGATGTTCATCAGGGATATTGGTCTGAAATTCCCTTTTTTTTGTTGTGTCTCTGCCAGGCTTTGGTATCAGGATGATGTCGGCCTCATAAAATGAGTTAGGGAGGATTCCTTCTTTTTCTATTGATTGGAATAGTTTCAGAAGAATGGTACCAGCTCCTCTTTGTACCTCTGGTAGAATTTGGCTGTGAATCCATCTGGTCCTGGACTTTTTTTGGTTGGTATGCTGTTGATTATTGCCTCAACTTCAGAGCCTGCTATTGGTCTATTCAGAGATTCAACTTTTTCCTGGTTTAGTATTGGGAGGGTGTATGTGTCCAGGAATTTATCCATTTCTTCTAGATTTTCTATTTTATTTGCATAGAGGTGTTTATAGTATTCTCTGATGGTTGTTTGTATTTCTGTGGGATTGGTGGTAATATCCCCTTTATCATTTTTTATTGCTTCTATTTGATTCTTCTCTCTTTTCTTCCTTATTTTTCTTGCTAGTGGTCTTTCAATTTTTTTCATCTTTTCAAAACACCAGCTTCTGGAATCATTGATTTTTTGAAGGGTTATGTCTCTGTCTCCTTCAGTTCTGCTCTGATCTTAGTTATTTCTTGCCTTCTGCTAGCTTTTGAATGTGTTTACTCTTGCTTCTCTAGTTTTTTAGATTGTGATGTTAGGGTGTCGATTTTAGATCTTTTCTGCCTTCTCTTGTGGGCATTTAGTGCTATAAATTTCTCTCTACACACTGCTTTAAATGTGTCCCAGAGATTCTGGTATGTTGTGTCTCTGTTCTCATTGGTTTCAAAGAGCATCTTTATTTCTGCCTTCATTTTGTTATTTACCCAGTAGTCATTCAGGAGCAGGCTGTTCAGTTTCCATGAAGTTGTACAATTTTGAGTGAATTTCTCAATCCTGAGTTCTAATTTGATTGCACTGTAGTCTGAGAGACAGTTTGTTGTGATTTCTGCTCTTTGACATTTGCTGAGGAGTACTTTACTTCCAAGTATGTCGTCGATTTTGGAGTAAGTGTGAAGTGGTGCTGAGAAGAATGTATATTCTGTTGATTTGGGATGGAGAGTTCTGTAGTTGTATATTAGGTCTGCTTGGTACAGAGCTGGGTTCAAGTCCTGAATATCCTTGTTAACCTTCTGTCTAGTATTATGTCTAGTATTATGTCTAGATCTGTCTAATATTGACAGTGGAGTGTCAAAAGTCTCCCATTATTACTGTGTGGTAGTCTAAGTCTCTTTGTAGATCTCTAAGGACTTGCTTTATGAATCTGGGTACTCTTGTATTGGGTGTATATATATTTAGGATAGTTAGCTCTTCTTGTTAAATTGATCCCTTTAGCATTATGCAATAGCTTTCTTTGTCTCTTTTGATCTTTGTTGGTTTAATGTCTGTTTTATCAGAGACTAGGCAACCCCTGCTTTTTTTTGCTTTCCATTTGCTTGGTAGGTCTTCCTCCATCCCTTTATTTTGAGCCTATTTGTGTCTCTGCACATGAGATGGGTCTCTTGAATACAGCACACTGATGGATCTTGACTGTTTATCCAATTTGCTAGTCTGTGTCTTTTAATTGGGGTATTTAGCCCATTTACGTTTAAGGTTAATGTTGATAAGTGTGAATTTGATCCTGTCATTATGATGTTAGCTGGTTATTTTGCCCATTATTTGATGCAGTTTCTTCCTAGCATCGATGGTCTTTACTATTTGGCATGTTTTTGCAGTGGCTGGTACCGGTTGTTCCTTTCCATGTTTAGTGCTTCCTTCAGGAGCTCTTGTGAGGCAGGCCCGGTGATGACAAAATCTCTCAGCATTTGCTTGTCTGTAAAGGATTTTATTTCTCCTTCACTTATGAAGTTTAATTTGGCTGGATATGAAATTCTGTGGTGAAAATTCTTTTCTTTAAGAATGCTGAATATTGGCCCCTACTCTCTTCTGGCTTGTAGAGTTTCTGCCAAGAGCTTCATTGTTAGTCTGATGGGCTTTGTGGGTAATCTGACCTTTCCCTCTGGTTGCCCTTTCCATTTTTTCCTTCATTTCAACCTTGGTGAATCTGACAGTTATGTGTCTTTGGGTTGCTCTTCTCAAGGAGTATCTTTGTGGTGTTCTTTGTATTTCCTGAATTTGAATGTTGGCCTGCATTGCTAGTTTGGGGAAGTTCTCCTGGGTAATATCCTGAAGAGTGTTTTCCAGCCTGGTTCCATTCTCCCTGTCACTTTCAGGTATACAATCAAATGTAGATTTGGTCTTTTTGTCCCATATTTTTTGGAGGCTTTATTCGTTTCTTTTTGATCTTTTTCTCTCTAAACTTCTCTTCTCGCTTTGTTTCATTAATGTGATCTTCAATCACTGATACCCTTTCTTCCACTTGATTGAATTGGTTACTGAAGCTTGTGCATGCATCACGTAGCTCTTGTGCCGTGGTTTTCAGCTCCATCCGGTCATTTAAGGTCTTCTCTACACTGTTTATTCTAGTTAGTCATTTGTCTAATCTTTTTTTCAAGGTTTTTAGCTTCCTTGTGATAGGTTTGAACATCCTCCTTTAGCTCAGGGAAGTTTGTGGTTACCAGCCTTCTGAAGCCTACTTCTGTCAACTCATCAAAGTCATTCTGCATCCAGCTTTGTTCCATTGCTGGCGAGGAGCTGCGACCATTTGGAGGAGAAGAGGAGCTCTGGATTTTAGAATTTTCAGCTTTTCTGCTCTGGTTTCTCCCCATCTTTGTGGTTTTATCTACCTTTGGTGTTTGATGTTGGTGACCTACAGGTGGGGTTTTGGTGTGGATGTCCTTTTTATTGATGTTGATGATGATGATCTTTTCTGTTTGTTAGTTTTCCTTCTAAGAGTCCCTCAGCTGCAGGTCTGTTGGAGTTTGCTGGAGATCCCCTTCAGACCCTATTTGCCTGGGTATCACCAGTGGAGGCTGCAGAATAGGAAATATTGCAGAACAGCAAATATTGCTGCCTGATCCTTTCTCTGGAAGCTTCATCCCAGAGGGGCGTCCCACCTGTACAAGTTGTCAGTCAGCCCCTACTGGGAGGTGTCTCCCAGTTAGGCTACATGGGGGTCAGGGACCCACTTGAGTAGGCAGTCTGTCTCAAACGCCTGAACTCAAAATGTTTGAGTTCTCAGAGCTCAGACGCCATGCTGGAAGAACCCCTGCTCTCCTCAGAGCTGTCAGACAGGGACATTTAAGTCTGCAGAAGTTTCTGCTGCCTTTTGTTCAGTTATGCCTTGCCCCCAGATGTGAAGTCAACAGAGGCAGTGGGCCTTGCTGAGCTGCAGTGGGCTCTGCCCAATTCGAGCTTCCCTGGCTGCTTTGTTTACCTACTCAAGCCTCAGCAATGGTGGATATCCCTCTCCCTGCCAGGCTGTTGCCCCACAGGTTGATCTCAGACTGCTGCACTAGCAGTGAGCAAGGCTCCGTGGGTGTGGGACCCATTGAGCCACATGTGGGATATAATCTCCTGGTGTGCCGTTTGCTAAGACCATTGGAAAAGCACAATATTTAGGTGGGAGTTTCCTCTTTTTTCAGATACAATCTGTCATGGCTTCCCTTGGTTAGGAAAGGGAAATCCCCCAACCCCTTGCTCTTCCCGGGTTAGACAATGCCCCACCCTGCTTTGGCTCATCCTCCGTGGGCTGCACCCACTGTCCAACCAGTCCCAATGAGATGAACCAGGTACCTCAGTTGGAAATGCAGAAATCACCCATCTTCTGCATCAATCATGCTGGGAGCTGCAGACCAGAGCTGTTCCTATTGAGCCATCTTGGAACGGCAATCTCATATAGTACTTTTATAAGAAATTTGCCTATCATGTAGTTTAACTAAAGTAATTAGCCATCACTATATTTTCAAATAAGGTGGACTTCAGGTCCCAAGATACTCACCATTGTTTGATTTCATTGCCAATCCCATGTGTGATCTTGGGTCTCATACTGGTCTTTCTTTTTCTTTTCTTTTCATTTCTTTGCTTTTTTTTTTTTTCCTTTTTCTTTCTTTCTTTCTTTCTTTTTTTTTTTTGAGACAGGGTCTCTCTATGTTGCCTACCCTGATCTGGAACTCCTGGGGTCATGTGATCCTGCCACCTCAGCCTCCTGAGTTGCTGGGGCTACCAGTGCATACCACCATTCCTGGCTACCATATTGGCCTTATTATAATACAATGAGGTAAGGTTGTCAATAACTTACCTTCCTCACAAAGACATGGTGATAGAATGCCAAACTAAATAATAGTTATTCCCATGATTGTTTTATACTCCAGAGCTTAAGGACATAAATGTTGAAGCATTTCAAGATAAAATATGTACTTCAAAGTTTTCAAAATAATTTAAAAATAGAATTTTGAAATAGTGAAGAAAAGACTGTTGACTCTTTCAACTGGATTATGAAATGCATACCAAAGTTTGGACTTTTTGGAACCCACTTCCGGACTCTTCTGTGACTGGTAAGTCTGTAATTTGCTATTAAAATGTTGCAATTTCAATTTTAGACAGTTGAGCTATAAATTGCTGAGATCTGGGATAAATGGCCAATTATATTAGAACAAATGTCTATTGTTTTATTCAAGGAGCGAGAGAGTTCACTGTACTACTTACTTATAGTGATTATTTAAAATTTTTCTCCAGAAGAAAAAGTCCATGCCACATTTGTGGAAATGGTTAGGTGACCACAGTAACAAAGAATCCAGGGATGATTTAGTGCAGATCATCATGCAGGCTTCCTAGCATGTGCATTTTAAACAGTATTGTGTTGTCTCCAAGTTTGCCAGAATGTAATCTGTGAGCAACTGGGCAAAATCAGAATCAGGAACCTAGGAGAGTAATATTGTTTTGGAATTGTCTAGCAAAAGACTTTGGTTTGGGTTTGTTACGTCTGGAACCAATATGTCACAGGTGGCATACATCATTTAAAGTTTATTATTTTAACCTTAGACCTCCTTGTTTAAAATTTATGCTATTTGGTGCCTTGCATCCCAACATAAGCATTTCTATTCTATTACATGCTAGTTCTTGCCAGTACGTGGTGAGTATGGTGAAACCATAGCTTGAATGGCTGGACAGCCCCTTCCACAGTTCCATGCTTTTGCTGGAACTGCCAAACCCAGTAGGTTCAAGGGGATGCTCAAAAATTAAGGCATGGCACTAGGTAATTGAAACCATTCTCTGCACATCTGGAAAAAACCCCAATTTTGGTCACACACTCTGCTGAAACAGAAATCATCCCTTGTTATTGCTGGGAGTTGCAGGAAAGTAAAAGTGGTATCATTTTACGTTTACAGAAGCATTTAGCATTTTCACGGACAGACTCAAAAGCTTGTGGTTACAAAGTCTGAAATTCTTATTAAAATTATTCATTAAATCAACAGAACACATAGCTAGCAATTGTTCCAAGACCTTCTTTCCTTCCATTTGTACAGGATAGCAATGATCCCACTGATCCATTTTATTCTCTGTATCCAAACAAAACAAAACAGACAAACAACAACAAGAAAAATGTACAATTTTCCCATTCAGTGGTTGACTTGTTCTAGCCAGGAAGTTTTAATTATCTGTCATTCAAAGTAAGTTCATCCTAGATGCTATGGCCTCCCTCATGCTGGCATGAGGCAAATTATCGTCTGGGATGAAGATGGGGTGAATTTGGGCTGGCTGTGGTCCCTGTAGAAGAGATAAAGGTGCTTAGGAGTTTGTGCTCTTAAATCTAAGAAAAATCCACAGATTGAGAATTTGATTGTGTTCATTGTGTAGAACTTAAAGCTTCCACATGCCTTTAAAATTTACTTGCTTGCAATTATGGATTTACATGTTCTCCAACGTTTCATGTCACTTTCTGTGGTAATAATTATATAGCATCCTACTGTTTCTGAGGTACTTTCAGTATCTTATTTTTACAGTATTCCCTTATGGGGCATATGGGGCAGGGATTATTTTTCTCACTTTGAAAATGAGAATCCTGAGGCCCAGAGAAGTTAAATGGCTTACCCAGCATCACACAGCTAATAAGGATAAGGCTGGCTCTCAAACAGGTCTTCTGACTCCAAATCTTATGCTACTTCTCTTAACATGTAGTGCCTCTTATGTTTTTTGTATTTTTTTCTCACAAAAGTAAATTCTGCTTTGGACCATTTTTCAAAGCAATTTTGATGGAACACATCCAAATCCTGTTTCCATGGAACTGACAGCATGGAAATGTACAGCTTCTCGATCAGGACAGTGCTTGTTATCTTGGAATTCTGGGACTGCTGAAGCTCAGTGTGAAATGGTTGCATACATTTCTACTTGTTTAAGCACAACAATTTGCTTGTTCTTTCTCTACAGTATGTATTTCTATCTTATAGATACTTACTTACATTAGATTTGTAAATCTCAAAGTTCCTGAGGGCCACTGACAGTCATATTCATCTTTCTATGCTCTACTGCACCTTGTCCAGGACTTGCAGGAGGTAGATGTTCAACAAATATTTACTAAAAGGAATAAAAGACATAGCAGGATTTGAAGAATTCAAATGTATTTTCCTATATTAGCTACATCAGTCTTTTCAGTACAGCTTTCTGCAATGATGGAAATGCTCTATATCTGGGCTGTGCAATACAATAGCTACTATTTGCTAGTGTGACTGGGGAACTAAGTTTCTAATTTATTTAAATTTAAGTAGTGGCATGTGGCTGATGGTTAACGTATTAGACATAGCAGCTCTAAATTGTAATATATTTGAACTTTGTCAGATCCTCATATCCTGATTGTATTTGGTTCCTTCCATACACTGATTGTTCTCACTATGTTTTTTGATGAGGAGATTGTACAGCCAGCCCTAAGCAAGGCGACAAAGGAGAGAGCTCAGATTTTCTGTTACACCTGCAGTAGAAGGCCATTTCTGCTGCTTGACCTCTGGGGAAGGGCTGGTGCTTGTTCCTGAATGTTTTCTGGAAAGTAGGAGTGACTTGTCTCTTGGAGTTACAAAGGGTTGATGGGGCTCTAGAAGGTGACGCAGTGGGGGATTTTTCAGTTTCTCAAGACTAAGTAATATATTATCTAGGCCTGTAGGAAAGAAAATGTCCATCATTTCCTAAGAAAAGCAAGTTTTTCCTTAGAAGAAAGAGGAGAGCAGGAAGCTAACATATTTAAATAGATTTCTGCATGCGTAAGTCTGAGTGGCGCTCCACTGGGGTAAGAATCTTTAGGCTCTGTCTCTCTCCTTAACATAGGCTGTGTACATCACCAGCAACCATTACGTTATGTATTTTTTTTCTAGTTGTGAAACTTCTAAATTCCTCCTTTGAAGTTGACAGTTTGGGATTAATAATAATAATAATAATAATAATAATAATAATAAAAACCTCTCTCCTCTTCTTACCACCAGATAGGAGTAGCTAAAACTGCCTAGGAAGAGAGAAATACTGTTCCTGCAGGGTAGACCCCTTTGATCTCAGTGACTTCTAAGAACCCCCATTCCTCATGCTGTGGCTTCTGCTACTTCTCTGAGGGGCCAAAAGGTTAAACAGAGAGAGCTGCAGGAGTGAAATGGCAACCAAATGGGAGAGTACGAGCTGGCCCTTGAGTCAAGGTGTATGTGTTATCATGTGATTCTGGGCACAAGTCCTTTCTCAGGATGTAAATGAAGGTAGATTTTTAGGCTCTTGTGCTCTATTAGAAGTAAAACAAACATTGAGGAAAGGAAAACAGGTGCATCGTTAATACCAATGTACTCATGGGTGGCTGCAAAAGCTACTCTAAATGAATCTGAAATTTCAGGATGAAAACTGAAGAGTTAAGTATTGACATCTATTTGTGAAGGGACTCAAGAGTATCTATTGTGAATCAAAGAGCAGGATCTGCCTTGAGGAGCCTACTATCTAAGGCTGACAAAACCAGTAGATATTAATATTCTGTATTATGTACAAAACTGGAACTTAAAAATGGTTTTCCTTTGTAAAAATATGTTCAGATTAACTTTTTAGCCTTCCTTCCTTTTCAAGTAGAGGTGGGAGGTATTATCTGTCCCTTTAGGCATCAGATGAAAACAAAGCACAGAGAGGGAAGCGACCTGGCTAAACTCACAGAGCAATCATGCCCGTGCCTACACTGGCATTTGAGCAGGGAACTTCAAACCAGGAGCCACCAGGCTGGCTTTCTCCTATGGAGTAAGATGACAGCTCCAATTCCTTACCAATGTAAGGGGGCCCAAATGTATAGAATACATAAATACATGTGCAAAAGAGGAAACGAAACCTCAATCTGCCAAAGCTGTTGGCGAGAAGACAAATTAATACCTGTGACTCTGGTTCTGATTCTCTGAGCTTTTTTTAAAAATAAGCTTTTGCTTTGAAATAATTTTAGATACATAGAAAAAGTTGCAAATATAATGCAGAGTTCCCATATACCCCTTCACCCAGTTTCTTCTGATATTAACATTTTACATTTGATTTCCTGAGTTTGGCAATAATTTTATATTCATGTTTATAAGTGAACTTGTTTCTGTAACCTTCCTATAACATTCCCCTCAAGTTTACTACTAAGATAGAATAACCTACATATATGATAAGGGTTCAACAGTTGAGCACTAAACATTTTGGCTAAAAAGTCACTTCCCAAGTAGTGACTTTTTAACTGCAGTTTTAACTGCAGTTATCATTACTGGAGAATGGGGAAGGAAGAATAATATTTAGTATTGTGACAAAAGAAAAAACTTAGAATAAGAGAGAACTTTTTAGGTTGCTCTCAGGCTGGAAGTTAGTTTATCCTGTCAGTAACAGTTGAGGCTTTATAGCAATACTGAGATGACAAATAATTTTGGAAGCAGCATTTTGTAGGATATGCATTAAAGAAGATCTGTATTTCCCAAAATTTCTGGATTTGTTCGATAGTAAATAAAAATAGAATTAACCAAGATTACAAAAATTTGGTTGATAACAGTGCTCCACTTTAAAGTTGGAACAGAATTGAATGGTGGATCAGTGGAGGATATGAAGGTACAGTGGAGCCAAGCAGAGGATTGGTGTGTCATAGAGCAGTGCCACTGATGAAGGGTACTTGGGAAAGGACCAAGCCAGGTTCCTCCTGTATAAGAGTTTCACCAGTAGTGTAGTAAAGGGGGACTGACACTTGATAATGGACTAATACTATGATTATTTATTATCTGAGATTATTAAATTCCCATTTATGCTTAAGGTAACTATAGAAGGAATCTTATGGAATTTCCCATGTTTGACAATTTTTGATTCACAAAAATGGAACATTTATATGATTCATCCTAATAGTAAACTATGTGGTGAATTTGAAAAAGTTTGCTTAGTTTCATTTTATACTTTCTTTTGTTTTTATGAACTTGGAAGTAAAGAACAGTGATTCGAGCTAGAAAAATCCAACTGGGATTTGTTATGAAAATAACTAGAATGAACAGACAGATGAGCAGCCACCTAAATGCAACCCAGATAGGCACTCTTC